CCCTCCCTCCCACCGTTGACCCCTGTAACCGTAAACGCCCTGTCCCGTCATCGCCCACTAAATCGGGGGGGGTCCTGGTGCCTAGTTTCACTGCGCGATCTGCCCGGACATAACTGATAAAGCCCCCGGCAGAGCCACTTTTCGACATCCCATTAAACCACCCTCCTCCATCCAACTATCACACCTCACGAGGATATTCATCATCAATCACCATTTTCTCTTTTCTTTCTTTGTTCCTTTTTATCCAAAACAAACTGCTTTTCCTTGTATCGTAAAACTTTCAACATGTTGTCTTCCGCTGGATCGCTGCTTATGCGGCGCGATAACATGCCAAAGCCTGATCTTGGCTATGAGCTTCAGCAACTCCCCGACTGGTCGAGATTCGTATTCCTCGCCAACTTCATCCTCTTCCTCCCTGTCTTTGTTCTCGTAAGTACTCCTTGATCAATATTCACGTCTATACACTTACGCATTCCAGATCAACTACACCTTCGAAAAGGTCTTCCCCGTTCTCGCCATCGTCGAAGATGAGAAACCTCCCGCTTACGAACCTCTGCCCGTCGAGCCTCTCGCCAACGATGACATGCCCAAGCCCGCCTCTACTTCCTCTGTTCCCATTGCTGGCCAGGGCCGTCCCGTTACGTCTTCTTTCCGAGCTACCTGGCGCCTACTCCGATCTACTGGTGGTTTCCGCGCCATCTTCCGTGGTCTGCCCTGCTTCATCGCCCAGGCTGTCGTCACGGCCCTCATCAACGGCATCACCTATACCGTCATTCCTTATTCCTTTGTTCTGTCCAACTTGATCGGTTCTCTCGTCTGCGTTCAGCTCAGCGCCGCCTGGGTTCACATCGTCATTACGCCTCCTTCTCCTCTCAAGTTCTGGAGCCGTCTCCCTCCTTTCAAGACCACCTTCGCCGCCACCTGGAGACCTACTCTCATCTTCTGGGCTGCCTCTCAGATCGTCAACCTTGGCACTTTCGGTGTTCTCTACCTGTTTGGAGGTGACCAGACCACTGAGATTCCTCAGCTCCAGGGTCTCGGCAGCGTTTTCGGCATCCTCCTCGTCGCTGTCCTTCTCCAGGTCGCTATTCAGATTCCCGCCTACGTCGTTCTCGTTCGAGTCCAGGCCTCTCTTCTCCCCGCTGACGCCGACACCATCATTCCTTTCGACCGCTCTTTCAACGGCCGTATCGAGCCCGTTGTTGTCGGTGGCCTCGGCTATGCTACTGTTCGCGACGCCTGGTCCAGCTTCTCCAAGTCTGCCTGGCGCCGTATTGTCATGCTCAGCGTCAAGATCGTCGCTGTCACCTTCGCTGCCCTCTGTGTCATCTTCGCCGTTATCATCCCCCAGATCATTCTCTTGGCTGCCATGGGAACCGACAACGGTGATGGCAACCAGGACATCAAGATGTAAATGAATGATCCACGCTTTCTAGTACGACTTGTCACTTGATGATATCCCCTTTGGTTAACTGCCTGTTGTCTTTTGTCTACAAAGGCATGTAAACGGTTCAGATTGTAAAGCTTTCCGTCAAGAATACCACTCTGTTATAGCTCTCTTTGATATAAGCAAGAAATAAAAATAAAAATGTTTGTTTTGTTAGAAATTCAATCAATTCATTGACTCTCTTATACTTCGTGCCTTTAGCTATGTGGTCGTGACAAGACTCATGCAAGCTTCCTCCACTACTGCTGCTGATATTTGTCTCATCTCCATCCTTTGTCTCCTTCGACTCATCTCATCTCGTCTCTCTCGCGCCCAGAGCGCCAACAATATAACAATTCCATCCGTCCTACCATTGTCCCATCGCGATGCCTGTCATAAATCCAAATCATCGTAGCCGCCCCATCCTCTATCGCCTTCTTATAGTAGAAGCAGAAAAAAAAAGAGACAAAAACAGAAATCACGGGGGACAAAGTAGAAAGCAGCAGAAGAGAAGAAGAGAGAAACCTTTTAGAAAGCTTTGTCGAACGGGGGCATCGTTGAATGGAAAAAAGGGGGGGTATGAAAAGGAGGAATGTTTGTGTCTAACAGATCTTGCTCGCAACGCCGTGCCCATAAGGTAAGCAAAAAAAAAGCAGCGAGCTTCTTTTTTCTTCTTTTATTTATCTTTATTCCCTCATTATGTTGTTGTCTATGACTTTGTGAAGAACCAACTGGCACGCTTGCTGCTGCTACCGCTGCTGGTGTTGCCTTCGTTCTGGCCCTGAAGGTTCTGGATCGTGGGAATGCTGGGGGCGTCGTTGCCGCCGCCGCCTCCTCGAAGAGGCTTGGCGATCCTGCTGCCGGCGTTGGCAAAGCTAAAGCCACCAGGCGAGTTGAGACCGCGAGTGCTGCCGGCCTTGGCCAGTTCGAGTCGCTCCTTGACAGCGGCAAGCTGAACCTCGAACCTAGATGATCGTTAGTGAACTTCATGAGAAAAGGAGTATCATTCAGGGGTACATACTTGTGGTTCGCAGCAGCCATCTTCTCCTGACTATCCTGTAGCAGGCTCTCGAGGCTCTGGATACGCTCGTTTCGTGCAATCAGCTTGCGCTCGGCGATAGCAACCTCCTTCTTGAGAGCAGAGTTCTGCTCAACCAGCTGTCGCTGGACCTGGGTGAGTTGCTCCAGGTTCCTCTCGAGGAAGGCCATCTTCTTCTGTTGCGCCCTGTTGTTGGACGATCGGAGAACGTTGTTATATTGCTCTCGGGTCTCGTCAAGGGAAATCTCGAGCTCGACGACTCGCTCACATCGGTTCTGGAGGTCGCGCATGAGACTCTTCTTCATGACGTCAAACTCGGCGATCTGTTGCTGGATCGTCTTGCCGTTAGCCATTGGCGCAGTAGCGCCAGCCTTGACACGCTGTTGAAGGTCCTCGATAAGAGTCTTCATTCTTGTGTTCTCGGCTGCCTTCTGAGCAATGTCCTCCTTCAACTCCTCAACAAACTGCGACTGGGCAGTCTGGCGGTTCGCAAAAGCGTTCTCGAGTCGGGCCTTGACCTCCTCGATATCCTCGGGGCCCAAGTTACGGGTAAGAATCTCCTCATACTCGGCCTGGACAGCCTCAAGACGGGCTTCAAGTTCTTGCCTCCTCCTTGAGTCAGACTCGCTAGAGGAAGTGCTGTACATGGAAAGCTCTGCTTGTCGAATAATGCCCTGGGTCTCCACCAATCGAGCCTTGAGTGCCTTAAACTCATCGGGAGCGATGTTGTCGCCAGTCGCACTGAGCTCATGAAGTGAGTCGACCTTCTCGATCGTCTCAGCGATATGGCGCTCATTCTCGCTAAACACTTCACCACCCAAGTCGAAGCCAGCCATCATCTTGGCCATCTTCTCGGCCTTCCTCTTCTCCTTCTCGTCGAGAGCGGCACCACTCTCCTTGGCGCTCATCTTGACATCGAGGAGCTGCTGCTTCACCTCGTCGAGTTCGGTGGTGAGCTCCGAGTTGGCCTCCTTCAAGGCGTCCATTGTGATCTGAGCTTCCTTGCTCTCAAATGTGAGCCTCTCCAGTTGCATCTTGAATTCGTTAACCTCGGTTGTGAGCTTCTCGTTCTCCTTGCCGACTTTGCTGTCGTGATCCTTGAGGTAGGCCAGCTCCTCCTTGGTCTCTCGCAGCTGCTTCTCAGCCGACGCAGCTTGAGACTCCTTCTCCGAGATCTGGTCCTGCAGTTCGTTCTCTCGTCGTAGGAACTCCTCCCTCTCGTCCTTGTCAAGCGGTAGGCTGGGGGTGCCAGCTCGTTCGGATATCGCAGGTGTTTCTGATCGGCTGTCTGATATTAATGAGGGAGTGGATGGTCGTGTCGATGTCCTGGCATCGGCCTTGGTTCTAGCAACGGCATCGGTGGTCAAAGGCGTGGCCCATCTCTCCTTGGGGACAGCTTCACCAGCACGCCACATCTGAATTTCGCCCTCGAGGGAGGAGATGTAGCTCTCGAAGTTCGTAACCTGCCCTTGCGCTTTCTTGAGAAGGGACTTGAGTTCGGCAGGACTCAGCTCGGCGTTGACCTTGGCCTTGTTCTTGATCGACTTGGCTCGCATACCGAATCTTAGTGTACCCAATGTTTCGGCATCGTTGTAACTACTAGGCGAACAGTTGATGATAAGGGTTGTCCGACTGTTACCACCAAGAGACTCTTGCAAGATACGGGTCAACTTGGAGTCTCGGTAAGGAATATGTGAGGATTTGCCATCGGTCAAGGCGTTGATGACCATTCCCAGGGCACTCAAACTCTTGTTGATCTTTTTGGCTTCCTCCAGAGTCTGTCCACTGGCACCGGTCTTGCCAACCTTTTCACTACCGGCCAAATCGACAAGGAACAGCTGTCCGCTTTTTGCTGAGCCGGTTTCGACATTCTTCTGTGTGATGGTGATGACAAAGATGGAGTGGGATCGTGAGGACTCCTGATTCATGTTCGTGGCGGCGACAGCTCGTGCATTTCCACCTCTCCTCATGACTTCGTACACTTCTTGGACACTCGAGACGTAGATTTCCAAAAGACCCTTGACATATACACCTCGGTTCTTCTCTTCGTGGACAGGCAGGTTGTCGTTCTGCGGTGCGAGCAGATCTCGAATCCTCTCCATGTAGATTTCCATATAACTGACGCGGACCGTGTACTCGATGGTGCCGGGACTGGACATGATGCTGGCAAAGATCTGCTCGACGATACGGGGAATAATACCTCGACCCTCATCGTCGTCGATGTTGGTGCCCATCATGGTATATGACTTACCGGCACCGGTCTGGCCATAGGCGAAGACGGTTCCGTTGTATCCATTGAGAATATCGTCGACGGTAGATCGGATCGAAAAGTCGAAAATATCTTGTTGTTTACATCCCATATCAAAGACTCGGTCAAAGGTGAAGCTACCTTGCGCCTCTTTGGACTGCCGAACATGTTAGCTGTAAGTCCTCACCGTATGTTTACGATGCCGTGAACAGAAACGCAACGCAAAGCAAAGCAACGCAAATGGCAAGACATACGGCGATGGTACAGGTATCCTCGCCATCGAAGGACACGATGGGCTTTCCGCCCGACTCAAGCTCGACCTTGTTCTGAGGTCGAAACCTGGCCACGACCTTGATACTATTTGCGGACGACATGTTGAACGCAGGCTCTGTGTCACGCAACAAACGTTATCATCGGCCGCGGTGCTTGCTGTCGTCCCGATAGAAAGGGAAAAAAGTCGGGCTCGATCGTTGGTTGCTCTGAAGCGAACCTTCAGGGGGGGTGAGGGGGGTCGCAGAAGATGCGGGCCGCAAGTTTGTTGCAATGAGCCACAAAATGGCGGCGAGAGGGGGGGGCCTCAAACAAAGAGACAGAGAGGAGACGAGGATAATAAGGGGATGTTTAGACTTCGATAAAGGGAGATGGGCTCTAAACAAAGGCCGAGTCGTTGGGTGCAGATCAAGGCAGAGCCAAGATGCAAGCAGGGTTTCCGTGATTCGCTGGCAGGGCGTACGGTTGTATATAGAATAATATGCACTATAATGTTGTTTAGGTGTGGTTTGACGTGCGATCAGCAATAAAAAGTATCGACGACTGTCAACAACAAATGAATGCCAACCTAACGTCCCAGGTGTGTTGTTGGCAACCAGAGGCGGTGGGCATTTGTTGGAGAACGGGGTCTGAAAGGTGATAGGTCAGACACAGAGAGACGCGCGCCAAGAGGAGCCGAAACGGGGTCACCCTCAAGCGTGAGGGCTGCTCCAGGGGGGTAGGTGTCCTATAATTTAGGGGACTCTTTAGAGGTTTTGGGTTTTTTTACCCCTTGGAGATTAGGCCTCCCGGAGGGAAGTGCCTAGAAAGAACGTTGAACTCTGAAGCTGTGGCCCAGATTGTTGGTCTTGACCGGTGCAATTTGGCCGGGGTCTTTGGCTCACTGTTATCAGGTATCGGGTTGTTGCGTCGAGGGGTTCATCATGGTGCCATCAGTAGTCAACACACTACCTATTATGGCATATGGCCAATGATTAGCCTCAAGCATTCAATATGAAGTGCATTAAATTGTATTAAATTGTCCGCTCATGGCAATGAGTGCTTTACAAAGGGAGGATATTAAGTTCATGCAACGATAACAAGCGTTCTTTGGCAAAGTGTCACATGAAACCAAACGATAAGAGCCATTAAACATGTCACCATTCCTGACAAGCAAGGATACACAATGCACCCCCACCATTCGACACATTCCGCTTCATCGGCGAGCATTTCAAGGCAGTTAGTTCACTTCGCTGAGAGTCGTTCTCGGGCAATAAACAAAGGCGCTACAAGAAACATTAAACTCCTTTCTTCATGATGAACCCTCGTGATATCATAAGCTAACGTTCCCGGGGCTTCCTGGACGCTTGCAACGCCTCGAATGCAGTTTAGTCAGTTTAAAACTCCTCGCACCCCAAAACGCCATGTACATAAAATGCCTTGCAGCTTTGGGCTGCAGAGCACTTTTCATCGTTTGAGCAGCCTGATCTGTCACCTTGCTGGACAGGTCGACGTTGGCATACCGTTCTCTGTCCCTTTTGGAGTTGGGCCGTTCAGTCTTCCCAGCTCTTCTCCACTGTCTCTCTGACACGCTTGGTGTACTCCTTTCGGTTGTCCTTGTATAGGTTGGAAGCTTCGACGTTTGCAGGTGAACCAGTGTTAGGGTCGTTGAGTAAACTGTAGAAATATCAGCATACGCCTTTAATCGGCTACTATTTATGCTACCCACCTCTGAATACTGGTCAAGACAGCGGCGACATCGTACGTAGGGCTCCATCGGTTTTGCAAAATGTCGAGGCAAAGCTCTCCAGTGGCGTAGACGTTGGGGTGGAACATCTGGCTGATGAACTTGACCTGGGGAGGCTTGTTGGGATATTGCTCTTCGAACTGCATCACAAGTCGAAAGGTGCCATCTTCAAAGGGAGTGTCTGCGGGGCCGATGATGACGGCGTTCCTACAAGACGTATGATGAGTATTTGTGTTCAGGGTCGGCGATGTCGACGAGGGCGTACGAACCAGGTCATGACATTGTCTGGCACAGGTGAAGCAGAGACGCCGGCGGGAGGGTCGGTCTGCATGCGCTATCGCGGGAGTCAGCGAGGTTTGATCTGGGGCGATCGTCAAAAAATTGCGAACCTTGAAGTCTCGCATGAGACGGCGACGAGCGGCGGTAGACATGATAGCGACTGGGTCGGAAGACAAGAGCGGATGTAAGGATAGAAGCTGAATGCTGTTGAGCGAGCGAAATCGTTACGTGAATGCTGTGCTTGACAAATATTTCTAACAGGCGAAATGATTTGCATGCACGGTTCACTGTCTAGAGATTTGGCGGTGCAAGATGATGAGCGGAGATGGAGATTGGTCATGGACGACTGGTCGATGATTCGGATTCCACAGCGGAGGAGGTGGGTGATGCAATCTACCAATCAAGCATGCTTATCGGTCTGGCCTATCAATGCACGGTGAGAGGTCCACCTCGCGTTTGTCTCACCTGCTCACCGAGAACGCTGCACGTGACCTCGCCGAGCCGCAATAACTTCGAACCATCCTCGGAGCCTACAAAGATTTTGAATGGTGTTTGATTTGCTTTATAAGCATCAGATCCTCTTTCTAGACTTGATTAGGAACTTTTCTTGGACAAAATTGATCGCATAATTATATGCTGACTGTCAAAATGCTTTCTAGTATTTTATATCCCCCACTACCCGGAGCTTTCACATGGTCGCGGGGGACGAAGGCCGCTCAGAGAACTAAACTATGGGATTTCGGAACCGACAACTAATTCCGATGAAGGAGGAGCTATTAAACTGAAGTAAATTACACGATAATGATATAGGCAGCGGTGGGAAGAGTCCGTCCCTAGATCAGACAAATAGGTACCTCAGACTGGCAGCCAATGTCACCGTTTAGCTTGTACCCCAGGTTCGACGTCACCTGTAAAAGTCCCCCGGATTTGTAGTTCTCGGCACGGGAGAGCTTGTGGCCGCCACCTCGGGCCCTCCCCCGCTGAAAGCCGAAGAGGACCGAAGCGGATGTATATTGCCATATTACTGCGATACCCGAGGTCGCCTTGTCTTCTCTTACTTTAGGTACTTATTCCTTCAGTCCATTCCCATCCTCTTCTTTTCTCTCTGTTCTGTCTGTCCTGTTACGTCTTGATACCCCCCTCATATACATCAAAATGTCTCCTGCTCAACTAAGATCCGCTGGCCGGCTGGCCCAGCTCGCTGGACATGTGAATGGCGCGCGACAGTTCTCTACACGGCCTGCTCTGCGCAAGGAGATCCAGGACGCTTATATCCTAAGCGCCGCTCGAACTCCTACAGCAAAGGTACAGTATTAACTAATTCAACTACTATGAACGCAACTTATTCACACATTCCCAGTTCAATGGCTCGTTCCTGTCAGTATCGGCTCCTAAGCTCGGCGCTGTCGCTATCAAGTCGGCCCTGGAAAAGTCAAAGGTCCCCGTCGAGAAGATCACCGATGTATACATGGGCAATGTGCTTCAGGGTTCCGTTGGCCAAGCGCCTGCTCGACAGGCCGCTATCTTCGCGGGTCTGCCCAAGGAGATCGAGGCTACCACTATTAACAAGGTCTGCGCTTCTGGACTCAAGGCCGTTGCTCTGGCTGCTCAAAACATTCAGCTGGGTCTCTCTGAGGCTCAGATCGCCGGTGGAATGGAAAACATGTCACAGGTCCCATACTACGTGCCCCGCGCCAGTGGTCTTCCTGCCTTTGGCCATGTCAAGATGGAGGATGGTCTTATTAAGGACGGTCTGACTGATGTTTATGACCAATTCCACATGGGCAACTGCGCCGAGAACACCGTCAAGAACTACAAGATCACCCGAGAGCAACAGGACGAGTACGCTATTCAGTCATACCGCAATGCGCAAAAGGCTTGGGCTGACAAGGCCTTTGCTGACGAGATCGCCCCCGTTACCGTCAAGTCACGAAAGGGCGAGACTGTTATCGACACCGATGAGGGATTCAACGAGGTCAAGTTCGACAAGATCCCTACGCTGAAGCCTGCTTTCGTTCGTGACGGAAGTGGCACTGTCACCGCGGCCAACTCATCGACTCTTAACGATGGTGCTAGCGCTCTTGTCCTCGGAAGCAAGGCTATTGCCCAACAGTACGGCTCTGGCTCGCGCGTTCTGGCCAAGATCTGCGGTTATGCTGATGCTGCCACTTCTCCCATTGACTTCCCTATCGCTCCCGCCAAGGCTGTTCCCATTGCTCTCGAGCGTGCCGGTATCACCAAGGATCAGGTTGCCATCTGGGAGTTCAACGAGGCTTTCGCCAGTGTGATCCTGGCCAACTCCAAGATTCTGGGTCTTGAGGGCGCCAAGGTTAACCCTCTGGGTGGTGCTATCTCGCTGGGCCATGCTCTTGGCAGCTCTGGTTCACGAATCTTGACAACCCTGCTACATCAGCTTAAGCCTGGTGAGTATGGTGTCGCTGCTATTTGCAACGGTGGTGGTGCTGCGACTGCATTGGTTGTCCAGCGTGTTGAGTCTGTATAAAAAGGAGTATGAGTTATAACGATAGAACATTTATGATTGATAGTAGAAAAACAAAGCAAAATTGAATAAAAATTGAATAATATGGGAATATCATTCCAGTGCAGCTCGTATTTTTTACCTGCTCTGCCATTACTACCAAGGATCAAGCTGAGCAGTTGTCATGATCCCTCGGTGCAGGGTAACATGATGAGCACCGACGATCCCATGTTACCAATAAGCAGTCATGATGAGCCATCGTCTCACATAAAATAGCACTTTATTCCACTGGCAAAACAGCATTGGCTTCTAGTAGTCACCTTCGAGTGCTATACTTAAGTTCATTGGCGAATAATGAGACTATTTTAGTTGGTGAGTGTTTGGGAAGAACAATGGGAGATGTTCTTGCTGTTCCTTTCAGACACTGAGACAGTGGAACCGTGCTATTTTCCGCTCACTCACTGACCTTACTCACCTGGAAGCTCAGCTCAACCTCACCTTTCAACTCAATCTTAACCCTCTATCTCTCTCCTCTCCCCTCAATCTCCGCCATCACTCGCGATGCCTCTAGTCCTCGAATTCCTCACTCAGATCCGCAATTTCATCCGCACTCAAAATGGCGAAGAGCTTCGCGCCTGGCTCCAGGTAGAGCCTAATTCTCCTCAGCAATACCACAACCTCGCATCTGAGCTACGCTCTCAATTCCGCCAACAAGGCCTTGACAACATCGTTGAAAGAACGCTACCTCAGGAAGATGATGTCCCAGAAGGTCAGGCTACCGTGTGGCCTGGATTTGTGGCCTTCATGAAGGATTACATGGCCTTTTGGCGCGACGTTGACTATGATGATTTGCTGGGCGCGCATCAATTGCTTAGTGGGCTTGTCAAGTATGATATCAAACATTGGATGAAATATGACTATGGGAACTAATATTTGATACTATAGCTCTTGCGCAACCGCTTTTGCTCACCCAACCTACGGCGCCATGCTACTCAAGACGAGCATGTCCCTCTCAGAGACGCTGGCTCGTCTCACAATGTCTTTGAACAAACGCCCTGACCTGGCGCGTCGTCTACGTGCTGTAGATGAGGACAAGAGCATCGCAGAATCTTCAGCAGAAATTATCCAGAAGATCTTCACAACATGCCTCACAGATCGATCCAGCGGTCGTTATGCGAAACCAGAGGGCAAAAAGGTTGGCGTTTACATGTTTGCCAACCTCGTTCTCAAGCTTCTCTTTGCAGTATGTAACAACTCAACATGTTATAAGATATATCGCTAACCAGGTAAAAGTGCCGAAGAACACATCTCGCCAAAATGATCTTTGTCAACATTTCCACCATCTCTCCGCCACTATCTCTCTACCCAGCTGCTCAGCGCGTCACATTCCTCTACTACCTAGGCCGCTTCAACTTCTCAAACAACCACTACCTCCGGGCTGCGCTGTGCCTCGAGGGAGCATACCTTCAGACCCCATCGCAGCTGGCCTCTCACCGGACTAACATTCTCACCTATCTTATTCCCTGCAACATCCTTCTCGGACGCTTTCCATCACAATTATTGCTGCAGCGCCCAGAATGTCAGACTCTGGCGCCTGTTTTCTTTCCCATTTGCCAGGCTATCAGATCTGGCAACTTTATCCAATTTCAGCAGCATCTTGCACAACACGAGACATGGCTCTTTGAGAAGGGCTTGCTGTTAACCCTCGGTAACCGACTACGGCCTCTGCTCTGGCGCTCACTAAGCAGAAAGACTTTCCTCCTCACATACGTCCCGCCAACCGATTCATCATCCAGAAAAGCCGCCACACTTGACCTTGCAGACCTTCACACACTCGGAGTGTACCTTCAACACCGCCTTGAAGGCTGGCTTCCAGCAGGGCCAAACTCACTTGGTCGTTCCCATACCGTCAACCCTCTCCTTATGAAAGCCCTCGAGAACAATGCTCAAAACCCCGAAGCCACATCTACACTAGCTCCGCCACCGGGAGGGCCCAAATCTCTCCGGCCTAATGAGGGTATGATCTGGGGTAACGCAGAGGTCACATTCGAGGACGTGGAGATGACTGTCGCAACGCTTGTTCAGCAGGGTTTGATGCATGGGTTTATCGCTCACGGGCAAGGTCGATTTGCTATCATTGGCGCCAAAGCCAAGGGCAGCCCTGTGCTTGCTGGCTGGCCCAACGTCTGGCAAATAAACCGAGAAAGGAGATATGAAGACTACGATCCTGACGAGGTACCAGGTTGGGTTAAGGAGTAAAAAGCAAGAAGATATGGGTGGTTGAGCTAGACCACCTAGCTTGGATACTTAGATCACAACTCATCTTGATGGCGTTTGTATAATATCATTTCCTGTATGATACCCAGGGGATAGTAAGATTAGAGTATGGCTATTATGTGAGGATGTACTTGTGGCAATCAAAACGACCAGACACATATTTCTTTTCCAGTAGCTGCTGCGTGCGACAATGTTCATCACACCCATTAAATATGCCTAATCAAATAAGTGTTTTTATAGTAATAATAAGCCGAGATGGCCGAGGATCATCCCATCGACTAAACCACACCCATCTCCTGCTTTTGTTCAACAACCGTACAAGAAGTTTCCCCTCCCCTCCTAAAACTCTCTGATTCATGTGTGCATACGTCGTTAATCGCGAGAATAAACTTAAAACCATCGATTGTTTTCTCCAAACATCCAAAAAGTCTCCAATGTGTGCAAAAAAGGGTATATCGACCGTGAAATGAAGCGTTGAAACTTGTATATAATGCCCACGGGCCCACAAGAGAGCCCAGACAAGGGGACTCTTGAAGAATATTATACCCGGGGGCGGGTATTAGCAACCAGACTTCCCAGCAGCCAGAAGACTGCTGGGGAGTCTAGTAATAAGACAATAGACACTATCGCCGATAGGTAGTTGGCTTGATAATATATGTAAAGTACCAGTAATAAAGGAATGTCGTAGAAAATAGTTTCTGTGAATAGAATGCCAGCTGCGTCAGGACAGTGGTAAGTGGTCGTCAAAGGATATAGAAATTAGAAGAAACAAGCGGCGGCGATGAATGCGACGACAAGGCCAGCGATAGCAGTGTTGCCTTGATGGCGACCAGCCTCGCTTTCCTTGGACTGAGTGGGAGCCGCTCCAGAGTCGACCTCAGTGGCGGCAGCGGTCTCCTCGGACTCGGAGGAAGAGTAGGTAGAGGTTCCGTTCTCACGGAAGATACCAGGCTTGACAGTAGGGTAGACCTTCTTGGTGGTCTTAGAAGTAGCAGTGGTGAAGATGGTTGAGGTAGGCTCCTCGGTGGTGGTCTCGGAGGAAGTCTCTTGCTCGGTGGTGCTGCTAGACTCAGCAGAAGAGGTAGTCTCAACACTAGTAGTAGAGGTGGAGGTGGAGGTGGAGGAAGTGGTAGTAGGGAGTGCCGAAGTGGTGGGCTCAGCGGTTGTCGAAGGCTCCTCAGTGGTAGAGACAACGGGTGCCTTGGAAGTGGTCTTAGCCTCGGTGGTAGAGGGCTCAGCCTCAGCGGTAGAAGACTCGGTCTCTTCCTCATCGTCATCACCGCCGGATGAGCCTTTGCCTGCAGAGAAGGCAACGATCTGAGCAGTGCTGCCCTTCTGCACGGTAACGACACAGAAGGCAGCGCCGCCAGCACCCTTAGCGGAAAGGCTGCTGCCAACGTTACCCTCACCTTTGGTAGGGTCGATCTTGCAAGGAAGGCCATTGCAGCCACCCTCGGGGCACTGAATCTCAACACCAAAGTCAGGCAGCTTGCTCTTCAGAGCTGAGTCCTCCCAGATAGGGTTCCAGCCAATCTTGACAAAGGTCTGGCCGTTGGCCTCAGTGTTAGCACCGGCAACGTAAGGGCTCCAGTTACCAATGGGCTCAGACTCGGTACCCCAGATGCAGCCCTCCTCACCAGTACCAGGGGGGTTGATGTAGAAGCTGTATGATCGTTAGAGATCTTCGATGATCAACAAAGACTTAAGTGACTTACTGAGCAGCGGTGGAGCACCAGTACGAAGATCCGGGAACAGCCAGAGTTGCACTAGATGTGACAAGAGTAGGGATAAGCATAGCCTCGTTACCAGGCAGAACAGTCTGGCACCAAGACATCTTTGAGCCACACTTGTTGACGGCCTCAATGGAACCAGTACCAGAAACACAGTTGGGCTTGCCCTTGAAAGGCTTCTCAATTTCACCGTTCTTGTTACAGAAGAGACCTCCGTTCTGAGACGTGTTAGTTGAGTGTATCGAAGCTGCTAGATAATACAGGTCAGGCGTACCATTGAAGCGGGATACTCATAAGTGGAATCCGGATCCCATTGGTTCATAACCATACCGGGCTTGCAGGCGAAAGGGCAGTAAGATCCAGGCTTGCACTCCTGATCGGGGCTCATAGCCCAACCGGCGTTCTTCGCATCGGGAGTGACCGCGACCATGTTGGGGTCATCGGTAGGGAACTGGCATTGTCCACCACGCTTCTCAAGAGTCGAAGACTGAACGGGAAGATGTTGTCGCAAGTGCTCAAGACCATTGTGACGGTGACCGTGTTGCTTGCCAGCGACCACTGATGGCGCAGACAAGGCGCCCAGAAGGGCAGCCGAAAGGTTCATGAGTCTCATTGAGATTGTCGTCGATGAATACGAGTCGATTTCGTTTCGGTAAATTCCAGAACGGTTGTTCTTATTTTATATGCGCGAATACCTCCAGTCCTTCAACTAATTGTCACGAACGAGACATATATCCTGACGGGCGTTTGGTAAAAGAGTGTGATTGTCGTCGAGCAACAGAACGAGTGATGCAGCTGACGAGGGAAAGTCGATGAACTCGCGGAGCAGCGACAGAAACGTTTTAACAAAGCAAGGAAACAAAAAAAGAATGAGTGACAGGCAAGGAAGCAAGGACATGAATATTCAGAGATCGACAGGTTCACGAGATGGATATGGATCCCCAGGAAATGAGCCGTGGGCAGAAGCGCGGACACCAGCACAGTCACCCACAACAAGGAGATTGAGCTGCAGGCGAGGCCTCGTCTGAGTGGGCTCGTGGTCAGGCCCCATGCTGAGCCATGGCCTCACGGTACCTGCATGGAACTGAGAGACCCTGTCCATGTGTGGATGCCCTCCTGTGACGGGGGGTCGAGTAATGTAACCGTCTCCAATCAGACGTTGGCATGTCTGACCCCCTGGCCTCGATCTAGCCAATCCTGTTGAGACGGTGCCTGGTTCGAGTTCTTGGCTCAGGGGATCACGCTCGGAGCAGATTAGAGTCAACCATATCATGTCAAGGTGATGCTTAATTGTGCAGCTCTCGATGCCAAAGAGGGATGACTTCTGCGGCCCATGGTACCAGCATGTTCGGAACGAGGGCCGGATGGGGCAACGGCATCGTTTTCCACCAAGGCTCGCTGTAAGAGAGATCCTGGGGTTCAGGTTCGTTCAGGTCATCTAACCACTATTGTCTCGGTTCTGCTTCTCGCTCAGATTCAGATTTTGATTCTGGATTGTCTCGTCCCTGATTTTAGGAACTGGCGTCCATGTGCCATTGCACTCTCGACACGCTACCCCTGGACGTTTTCCTGTGGCTTGCGACAGAGACTCGCATTGGTCCGTTGGCTCTTAAAGCCCCTGACGAGTGGTTTTCCCGCAGCCTTTGCGACCATGGTTCCTGGGCCAATGTGTCTTTGGTTAGCGTTCAAACAGTCCCCAGACGGCTCGGAGCCACAACTGACAGCCTACTCAACGCGTGCTGTGCCACTCGCAATTGGCCAGGGAGACGCGCTTGAGTGCTGAAATCTAGAGGGCGAGTCAGCTCTTCTCGTCAAAATAAGATTGATGGCAGCAGTCACCTTCCAAAGAGGGGTCAGTAATTTCACTGATTGTTAGTGTATTCGGCTGAAGATCGACGTCATGCTCCCTTGCTTAGTGTGAATGGTCGGTGGAATAAAGTTGACAATATCCGTACGAGAAACCACAAGTTTCGGGATAATAAACACTTTTTGGCGCCATCTCGATGTTTATGAGCCGCTTATACAAATAGCATAGGTAAGTTAAGTTGAAGATATCATGAAAGAGAAAGACAGGACGAGATCGAGACAGTCACACTTACACGTGACTTGACAGCTCCTTCCATCATCGTTGAGGTTTGACTCGCTCTCTCACTGTAAGACTCGCATGGAATTTGTCATGTTTCGAATATCGGTGTGATTCAAACTGAAAACTGTCTTAAAATTCTCAATCCCTTTTTCTTCAGCTGAACGATACATTGAAAGAGGGGCATTCCTCAGGGGGCAAGAAAACAGCGAACCTTAAGATACAGTGTCAAAATAAACTCATCAAAAGTTATCCTAATCTTAGGCTATATTACCTAAGGCTTTTTGTCATCTAGGATCAAGGTCCTGTGTTTTCTTTCCTCCCCTAGGCATTATACGGTACGAGCCACCGATATCGCATCACTGAGGATCCGAATGTCGCTTAAAATCGCTAAACATTCCTAGGATTTACAGCATCCGGGGACTGATCAATGCATATTATCCATGTAAAATGCGATAAGGACGAGCGATTCATGCTCGCCTCTACATCCTGCCAGTGAGAATGGATAAGTTGAAGATGTGTCAGGCGATGCGTTGTGAGGATAATATGCTACGAAGGTCACCCCTATCCATTCTACCAACTTCTAACGAAGCTGAGATGCTGAGATCTATGACAGTGGAATGTCTCGGTAGTCTAGTAGTATAAATCAAGCATAGTTTTTTTGCACTATGATTCGATTGGAATCTGTACCATACCAAGCCATTACTTGTAACAAAAGCCTACTGAAGGGAGAGTTGAGATTGAAGCAAAAAAACACGATGCTCCAGGGTAAATTGACGAGGTTACGACCGAATCAATCAGATCGTGGTCGGTAGTTGACGGTTCTAGAACTGGGCGTTTTTTCTCAGTGGATAACGTGCAATTTTAAAGCATCGAGAGCCGTGTCTCGTCTCAACTCCAAACAATAAACAATGATTATGACGAGCTTCAGGCGGGAGTGGCGCACGGCACAAGAAAACAAAGTGGATGATGACCTGCATGGCGCTGAAGCCACAATAACTAATAAAAAAGGTTTCAAGTTTCAAGTGAGAGACTTTGTTTCTGACGTCTTGATTACAGCATGGCTATATTAAAAATCTGCGAAACATTGCTATAGCCGAAACGTCTAATATAATTGACTTTTACTTATTGAAGTTGATGATGAACGTGGTGAGTTGGACGTATTTCTCTGGACGATGTGCCAACAATGCTTGAATATTGTCAGAACCACAAAGTACCTAAAGAAAGATAAGCGAAATGTTTACAAACAGTGGAGATGTTTCCTCTCATTCTAGCCAAGAAACAAAACATCTGTAAATCGGCTGTGCTTACATCCGCAGGCCATAGCAGAGGCCGATGATAATTATAACTACCTTACTTGGATAAATTGATGAATAAACCAAGCTAACCAACTCCTCACTCAACCTGGGGAAACCTGGCCAACAAATCCAACAAAACCATCTCATTCGATACTTTGACCGGATCGTACAGTCTCCGTGAGAATCAAAATGCCGTTGGTGCTGACAGGAATCCCCCATCGCAGAACAGAAGCGCTTACTCGATTATTTTTGGAGGAGGGGTCGGCGATTGCTGCGCGTTGGCGTCGCTTGCACAGCCCACGAACCCTCGAAATAGCGGCAAACGACCAATCAACGACACTCGTTCAGCACCAAGGCCGCTGGGATGAGGCTGGTAAACAAGACGGATATGCCATCTTCCGTAGGATGTTGACTATTTTTGACCGTGCTGTGCTGGGCAGAGCCTCTGAAGCTGTCTTGTTCCTGGCTTGGGTCTGACAGCTCAGCATCGTGAGTCTTGTGCCTGGGTTCATGTGCTTATTTGGAAAATGAGAATATGGGTATAAGAAGATGGTGGTGTCCGGTCGAGATTGGAGATATTATTCATAGCATCACTCAAGCATTACAAGTCTTACAATTACACCAATCTCATCCCATCTCATTATCCTCTTCAAACAGCTCAACATCTTTCACAATGAAGTTCACCACTGCTCTCGTCTCCGCCGTCCTGGCCTTCACCTCCTTCGCCGAGGCAGCTCCTCGCAACACTCGTCGAGGAGACTCTAGCAAGCCTCTCAGTCTGACTGCCCAGCTTCGACTCGCTGATACGTAAGCAGCCCCCAATAATGACTTGGCTAGGACCACATGACTAACACATCATCACCAGTGCCGCTGACCGTTTTGCTCTCCTCCCCGAGGACGACGACTTTGTCTTTGACTTCAACAAGAAGCAAGATAACCCTGGAAAGGGCGGCGAGCTCATCGCTGCCAACCGTGCCAACTTCCCTGCTCTTGTTGGTACTGGTGCTGGCATGGCCTTTGGCAGAATCAATCGTGAGTTTCTCTTATACAATATCAGCATAACAACACTAACATGTTATCAGCTTGTGGCATGAACACTCTTCACGTTCACCCTCGCTCCGCCGAACTCCAAGTCGTCACCTCCGGCCGTCTCATCACCGAGATGGTCCCCGAGAACGGCGTCCTCGACAAGGATGGCAAGCGTCGTGTTATCCGCACCGAGCTCACAGCCAACATGATGACTCCCTTCTACCAAGGATCCATCCACACTCAGTTCAACCCTGACTGCGAACCTGCTACCTTCATCGCTACCTTTGCGACTGAGGACTTTGGCACTGGTCAGATCGCTGATGAGCTTGTTTCTCTGAGCGACGATGTCATCGCTGCTACCTTTGGTCAGAGCATCGCCGGCGAAGATATCGACAAGGTCCGCCAGGTTGTACCTAAGAGCATTGCTTTGGGCGTTGAAGAGTGCCTCAAGACCTGTGGCCTTAAGAAGCGATCGATCTAAGACTGAGTCTTCCTTATCTTTCTTTCCTTCTTTCTTCAAAACTTAGCATGGAATGAGCATGTGAACGATGTTTCTTCCCCTGGCGTTATTCTTTAGCTTAGTAGCATAGACGGAGATACCCTCGTTCTACGTGGCAGATATTGATAGGATCCGGCAATTAGTTTGTTCATAGATAGCATTTGGTACATATTATACAAGTTTTTCTTTCATCAAGTTTACATACATCGTGATACAAAGCCCAAAGTCACTCTTAACACCATCCCTTTACAGACCCTTTTCGCGATGACCAACGACCTTGGCAAAAGAGTCAAATGACATTGTCATCGAGTGTCGTCCCGCAGTCTTGCTTCTCAAATGGTTATCATAGTCCAGCATCTCCTTATACGGGACCTTGGCAATAATCTCAACAACTCTAGCTGAAGACTTCTTACCGCGCAGAGAAGTGATAGAGTCATACGGATCAGGGGGCGTGTAAATCTTGGAAACATCAATATGATCCTCGCCAGTCGACTCAGCAGACCGATCATTGACCTCAAGAACCTGACCACCAGCACCAGCAGTGACATCATGCTGTACCGTACCGGCGACAACCTCTGGACATGTGATGGTGACATGCATGATAGGCTCAAGAATGCCGATCTTTTCTTTCTCGAAAGCATCGCGAAGAGCAGCCTGGACGGCAGTCCTAGCGGCAGTGCTGAAATGTCCTCCCGTGGGAGTTT